CCGTATCTTTCCTTCCGTCGGTTTGGCTATCCTGTCCTCACATGTATGTCTGCTGCTAGGAATGTTTTCACTTAGTAAATAATCTCTTGGGTTAGCCTCACCTATCGGGTAATTACTAAGACTGTATGTAGTTCTCTTCCCAACATTATTATTTTTGGAATCTTTGATGTTATTTTTATTGACATTATTAGCCTTTGAAGTCACTGGACTGTGGTTAAAGTTTGATTCTGAAAAAACATATTCTGACTTACAGATGTTGTCATAACCATCTTCAAGTGTCAAATCCTCCCTGGACTGAGAGTTCTTTGTAGCATTATCTGTTAGTTCCACTAAATGAGGGCTCCACAGAAATGATTCTGAGCACTGAGCCCTTCGAAGGGCATCTGATTTCCATGAACTTGTGGGCGGGTTGCTGTGACTGGGTTTCAAATTATTACAGTTTTCAATCAACTTGATATTTTTCACTTTCTTTTTTACAAGATCTGAAATAAAATCAAACACATATAATTAATTTTATATATATATATATATTAGACATTAAAGCAGCCATTCAATTTTTTTCTCAGTATTATAATGCTAACATTCTTTGAGAAACTAAAGAGTGAACTAAAATCCTATTATCACATTAGAATCTAAGATTTTCCCTGCACATAATTACCTAGCAATAGTGTGTTACATCACTGATCCCAAATCAGAGATAACTTTCCACTGGCATCTTAATACAGGGTGATTCAAAAGGTTAGGGCCAAACTGAAGGAGCTTATGAGAGAACAACTTTCGATTAGGAATCCATGTCCTCCGAAGTTATCCTGAGTCTGTCGAGGCCGTTGAAGCTAGGGAAGTCTGATAGCATACAGCTGAAATAATCGTACTTTGGTATTCTCCTACTATCTTAATTTTGAATCACATGTATCCCGTCAGATTCTACAGAGGCTCCTGGGCTATTTACATTGTGTTTGTGAGTTGATAGTGACTGGTGTATTGCTGCTTTTGTAATCTCGTGTTGGTTATTTGTGAGCCCAGAGGCTCCTGGGTTGTGTTTGTAAGATTGCTAATGTAATCCCTGTACATTAACAAAGAAACAAAAATAAGCTGTGCCCATGGTGTGGTGGGAACCGCATAACCATGTAAACGACTGCTACTTCTGTATGATTCCTCTTGTCATCGGCATAAACAATAATAAAAAACATGCTTTGATCTATCCAAACATCCCCTCAGCCATTCGTCCTATACCCCACAATCATGAACTACCTGTACCTGTCCCTCCTACCTCCTACACAGCTGAATGCGGCGAAGAATGCTCACCATCACCACCAGCAGATGACGCCATTCCAAGATCATCGACATCTCAAGATAAAGAGTTTGTGCCAGAAACGTTACTTTCTACATCTCACAGAGTAACTCAAAGTAAACTGAATGATCTAGTGAGAGATTTAGACTTGCTTAAGTATAAGGCAGATTTGCTAGGATCACAACTTAGGCAATGGAATGTACTTGAAGAATATGTTAAAATAACCTGTTATCGTGTTCGTTAGATTCCTTTACAAAAACTCTGTCCCTCCTACCTCCTACACAGCTGAATGCGGCGAAGAATGCTCACCATCACCACCAGCAGATGACGCCATTCCAAGATCATCGACATCTCAAGATAAAGAGTTTGTGCCAGAAACGTTACTTTCTACATCTCACAGAGTAACTCAAAGTAAACTGAATGATCTAGTGAGAGATTTAGACTTGCTTAAGTATAAGGCAGATTTGCTAGGATCACAACTTAGGCAATGGAATGTACTTGAAGAATATGTTAAAATAACCTGTTATCGTGTTCGTTAGATTCCTTTACAAAAACTGTTTTCCATGCAAGATGATCTCGTATTTTGTGATGACGTAGATGGTCTTATGGATGCCCTGCATATAGAACATAACCCAAATGAGTGGCGGCTTTTTATAGATTCCTCAAAAGTCAGCTTGAAAGCAGTATTATTGCACAATGGCAATAAATTACCCAGCATTCCTATAGCTCATGCGGTACATATGAAAGAGACATACGATAACATTAAACAATTAATTAACAGGGTTGATTATGACAAATATAAGAGGTGTATATGTGCAGATTTAAAAGTGGTGCCTATCATACTAGGCCTTCAGCAGGGTTACACAAAATATTGCTGCTTCCTGTGTGAGTGGGAGTCATGCAAGGAATATACATTATGAAACTAAACAGTGGCACCTTCGACAGAACTTGGAACCAGGTACTAAAAATATTGTCCGTGAACCACTGGTAGATCAAAGCAAAATAATACTGCCAGCATTGCACATTAAATTGGGTCTGATGAAAAATTTTGTAAAAGGAATGGACCGACTAAGTGAAGGTGAAATCAAAGAAGGAGTTTTCTTAGGTCCCCAAATAAGAAACCTGATTGTTGATGAACATTTTGTTGACATTTTGATGGGAGAGGAGAAAATTGCATGGGAATCCTTCAAGTCTGTTGTTAGGAATTTTCTTGGAAACAATGGGGTGCCAATCTATAGGGAATTAGTAGACAAATTATTGAAAGCATACAGTAAAATGGGGTGCAATAATTCTCTTAAAATGCATTTCCTCCACTCTCACTTGGACTTTTTCCCTGATAATCTTGGATCGGTTAGTGATAAACATGGCGAATGATTTCACCAAGATATTTCTACTCTTGAAAGGCGTTATCAGGGGAAATGGAGCGCATCAATGATAGCTGATTACTGCTGGTCGGTGGTAAAAGATGCCCCTGAGGTAAAATACTGAAGACAGGCCAAAAGACAATGTCTATAAGGTAGGTGAAAATTTTTAAACATTTACATATCATATGGACGAATTTATTGGTGATATTTTACAAAGTACAAAATATCTTCAAAACACGAATTAACTAAGCTTCCTTATTGTCATTTTCGAATTTAGCGGACGGAAATACATAAGAATTGATTAGTTTCATTTCTGATATATACAACTCATTAAAATTTGTTGTCTAGTGTTATCAATGTCAAATACCCTAATGACTGGGATCAATGTAATGCATACAGCCTACAGAAGAATTAGCAATTCTTTTATCACGACTTTCTCCAATATTTTGATAACATGAAACACACACAGTTTGTCTTTCTCTGAATGTATTTCTACACCAATATATCTGCCAGCTTTCAACAAAGTTTTCCCTATATTAGAAATGATAAGTATTGTAAAACAAGTTTAAAACTCTGATCAATGTCAAGACAGAAAACAAGTTAATAAAGCATTTCCTTATAAACATGACCTTTAGATAACAAGCTCTAGATCATAAAGGGGACCACTAAGAGACGGTATAAAAGTTTAATTCAATTATATTCATATTTGTGTAATCAGAATCATCATATCAGACTCAATGTTTAGATCTTGGAATAGACATCAGATAAAGTTTTATCTTTGTCTGTAGTGATAATGACAGAAAAATGTGACTCAAATTAGAATTTCATTAATTTTAATGCAGATATCCTGTACCAAAGTTTGTTAGAATATGCAGACAAAGTCAAAATGTTTCATGTGAAGACATTGACATGCTATATAATTTCCTAAGAACATATCTAATGAACAAACAAAGTACAGGAATTGGAAATTTGTCTGCTCATTTCACTTGCAAAAGTACTTGCTGAGTGGAGGAGTACCTGCAGAAGGTGATCCAAAGAAATCTTCTGCTTTCACAAGACTCATCAGAGGTATGAATTGCCCATGATTCTTCTTCGTGTGAAAGAATTGCTGTTTCTTATATGTACCAGAACTATTTCCAATAGGTTTTTCCTGTGAATAATAAGGCAATATTTTGTTGTAACAGTCAATCAGTTAACCCCCTAAATGAAGATTCTTCCATGTGGGTGAGGATTTATGGAATTATACCAAATTTCAGTATCTACTTATACTTAACAAAGTGGAAAGGTGAACACCATAATGGTATACAGATAATTATGAAGTACAAAGTTATTTAAGTTTTACTATAAACCTTCCAAAAGAACACATACAAAACTTCACTTTTTGGTCATTTTCCAGCACATCATCTGTTCACCCACTAGAACTCTCTGCAAAGACCATTTACTGTTAACATGTCTAATTTTTTAAGCATGTCTGTTTAGCCATTCATTATTACATGAAAAATGTGAGGAGTAAATTTCTTCTTCTACTAATATGTTATCTTCTCACATTCATTTCTATACAATTGTCCTTCATAAGAGACAATCTTCAAGATGGGATTTGCACTAAGTACCCGCTGAATAAGCGTCACATGCATTCATTACCACAGAGAAAATGTGTGTGTCATTATAATTCATCTTTCAAGCAAAAGATTATGAAACATATACCATTTAAGCCGAGTTTATAATTCCAAATACTTTTTGCCAGAAATATAAAATTGTGGCATCAAATATATCTGTTTACACTGTAAAATCTTACCTTGTTATCTTTTAACTACTGCTGCTCACTGGCTGACTTGTTCTCATAATTGTAAACATTACCAGTTACCTCTGACAAAAAAGTTACTTATAGTCAACACACATTTAGAAGAAAATAGAAGACTTAAGATGTAAAATGCAACATACCAAAACTGTACACATCATTAAGATGTCATTTTGGGTTTTACACGGTAGTGTAAATACAGCTTAACAGCGGGTAACTGAATAAGGAACACATATTACATTAATATTTCAAAATATTGTTCTCACAGTGTGTGAAGTTTGTGAGCACTTACAAATTCAACTCCAGCCATCAAGTCACTCTTCAATGTATGACCATCGAGATGGCCAAGCCAACGAACAACACCTTGTTCAGGTTGGGTATCTAAGATCCACACAACCTGATCACCCACTTTAAGTGGCACATTACCAGGGTCAACACTTTCTCCAGTAACATCCAGATCTAGAACATAATCACAAGATTAATAAAAAGTATATGAATATATACACAACTTTTACTGTCTTGTCTAATACACATTTCAACCTAACCAGGTCATCTTCAGACACAGAGACTTAGATGTAAAAAAGACCTCATACACAGATGTTTGTGCCTTTAAGTGTTCTGATGCCACTACCCGTACTTGGGTTTTACAGAAATTTTCATGCATACTGGAGTATAACTTACACAGGCATAACTTGTGTAGAGAGCCACTGGTTGTGAATCATGTGCACAAGAATAATTTAAGGCAAAGTTCTGAAATCAACAGTGATTTTAATGCTGATAAAGAACATAATCCACCACATTTTAGATTGACCCTTAGCAATCTAGCTAGTTCATTTTAAGTTCTAAAAACAATTTTAAGATTTATTGTTTACAATGCAAAAAAGTAAAACAATATTTGTATTACCAATTTTGAAATGAAAACAAAAACCACACACTATGAAATTTTAAAAAAAATAATACCGACCTGTAGGTACCAAAGTTAGAAATAGATTGGACCCCAAAAGATTAAACTAAGTGAATTGCAAGAACACTCAAACAGAAAAGCAGAAATTACAAGCACATATATGATATTATGTTTTCACAGCAAGTGAACACAATGAAGCCTTCATGGGGAACCAACTATGAGAGTATGGAACTAGTTTCCAATATCCTAATTAATAAAATGTGGTTATATGACACACAGAAACACCCACTGCTGATAAAACCTGCTTGGATCATCCTGCCACTTCATGAACAGCAGACATTGAATGAGTTAATGCTCTGGTTCAAGATGACAGACACAAATCACTGTAACTCATACAGCTGACAAGTTGGACATCAGTTGTGAATCTGCATATTCCATCACCTACAACGACCTTACTTTTCATAAAATTATTGCATGGTAGGTGGTAAAGCATCTTTACTGATAAGCAAAAATGGGTAAGCATGGAAACATCCATGCAATTTTTCAGTGATACTGTAAAGGAGAGACTTTCCTACAACAGACTGTCACAGGTAATGAAACGTGGGTGCACCACTATGAAGAACTTGCAAGGAAATATCAAAGTATGGAATAGAAATACACATCACTACTCAGGGCCAATAAAGTCAAAAGTGTGCCCTCTGCCACAATAGCAATGTTTATGCTGTTTTGAGAATTGATGGGCCCATCCCCATACACTACCAGCACTGTGACCAGTCAGTCAATAGTGCACAGAACTGTGCCACACTTGACAAACTAAAACCAACTATTCACAGTAAACACAGGAGAATGCTGACAAAAATTGTTCTGTATCAAGACACTGCTTGACCTCATACAACAGCAGTGACTGTAAAACAATTCAAAACTGAAATTAGAGCTTCTTCCTCAGCCAGCATACACTCCACATCTCTCACAATCTAATTCCCACATTTTCAGACCACTAACAGATGTATTACATATACAAGAATTTAAAACAATGAAGAGATTGAGGTGCATACATGACTTTAAGTACAACCAAAAATATTCTTCACAGATGGCATCAATAAGCTCATGGACAAAAGAAAAAAATGTAAGAAGCTAGGGGATTATGTCAAAAAATGATAGTACACTTGTTCGAATGCCTGCTGAAGAACAAAATAAATTTTCATTTTTTCAATTCCCCTCATATTATGTTGCATGTTTAATTATTTACTGTTTAATTCATGATGCAGTAGCCCAGACTATACAGCATTTAATGATAGAATTAATGAATAATAAAATGGAAAGAATGTGGAAGAAAGTGGCTCCAGCCTAATTTAACATACTATCCTAATGAAAACCACAAAAAACCTCAACCAGAACAGCCAGTCTTTGGACCAAAATTTGAACTAAAGACCTCCTAAATCTGAAGGAATGCCAACCACTCAGATGCAATGTTTGGTATATCAGACTATGAATTTCCATTTTCATTATATTCATTGTAAAATTCTTACCAATCAATTTTTCAGTTTTCTCAAGCTTGAGTGATTTATTGTTCCTAGGAATGCATTCCTTCTCCTTCAGATGAAGTACAAGGGTTGTTTTGAAGTTACCCACATCATGGCTCCCTCCATTCTGATGCAACCTTCGCTCATTGGATGGCATGGATAATTTGGATGGAATGGCTGTAGCTTCAGAACAAATTTCACTGTTCTCTAAGGACTTGCCAAGGTTCAGAACTTTTGGATTCTTGTATGGCACAAGCCTGTTCAAGGCAACAAAAACACCAGCATTGTTGGGGCAATAAAAGAATCGCTTGCCAAAAATGCATCCATCATTTTTACCTTGAGTGCTGTGAACCTAATTTGGGAAAGATATGAACATTAGATTAGTAACTAAAAGATATGAAGATGAAATTAAAGCTGCCCCACTATACGCCATGTAGGTGCTTGGGGGGAGAGGCGGTATAGCTCCTACTCATTCAGCATCAGTGTCACGCCCCAGCAGCACTTTACGCCCAGGAAAGGACCCCAGTACCCATTAGATAGGAGGCTGGGTGACTTTCTATTCCTCTTAATTTGGAACATAATGTAATCCATACACAGCAGGCTGAAATTCTGACTACAGATGATTTCATACCTCACATAGAAGCTGGTTCTTCATTAATGTAACAGAATAGAATTTATTTACACTCTACAGATCCTTCATAGGCCCAATCCTAGGATGTAGAACATGTCATAGCACAAATACAAACTTTTTCTAATAAAAATATAAATTACATAGTTATGACTGTAATTGGAATGTAATATAATATGTAAGGAGACATATTTCTACATTCCAAAATAATTTAAAGCACCACACTGCAGAAATTAGCACATTACAATTAATAACATGAAAGATCACATTGGCCATTCATTCCAACTTCTGGAAACAGTAAATTCTAAAAAGGTTTTATCTACTTTCCATAACTTCTTGACCCACGAAAAATTAGTAGTCTTTCTGTTAATAATGAATCACATCCACACTGAAGGTAAAGCTGTCAGATAAGCCTAAAAGTTCACACAACTATTGCTCTACAAACAGAATACAAAAAATATTAAAGTGATTATACATGACAACAAATTAAAACAGGCACACCTGCACACTTGATTCAAATACACCACTTCCATTAAAAGTACAGAATTTCATGTGATCATCCAGTCATGCATCAAAACAGCTACATGATTGCTTATCACAGACTACACCTGGTGATAAAGCTGACAACTTACTATAAATACTGGAAAGTTATCTTATGCATTGTAAATTCAAGTGATAATTTATTTTCATCCAAGCTTTCTAATGTCAACTCAGGAGATATGAAAGGAAGTCTATTATCGCCAATTACAGCTTCAGACAGTGTTTTATGAAACAAAGAAAACAGAAGAAGGGGCATGCATTGGGCAGAGAGCTAAAAGAATATGAAGACAAAATTTAAACATCTAAGAGTGAAGCAGATGCTATAACAAAGCAAAGTGTTAACTTCTATTACATAAAGGGACAGCAGTAGAAGTTACCTTGGAAGTAAAGTATGTCTTCCTACAAGTATACAAACTTGAATAATTTGGTGACCTCTGACTATCAACAGCCCACCTTTAAATGAAAACTATCAGCTCATTCTATCAGCCTAGAATGACTAAAGTCAAGTGCTATCAGTAAATATTGCTCAAATAATTCATCCTCAAAAGAGTACATGTTCAGTTTGGGTTTGCCCTCTAATGAATACCTCTGCAACCACATTCAACAGTGTGTAAAGCAGCAGTTATCGCTGTGAGTGGGTATAAGTACTGGTTGTCAGTTTAAATGGATATGGTATGATATACTGTCAAACAACATACATTTTTAGGTATATGTGAAGTATGGTTCTCCTAGAACGTGTTAGAGAAAACTTTACCATAAACGTCCAGGGGCCACAATTCATAGAACATGGGCATCCACTACAATATAACTATTTTAAAGAAAATAAATGTAAAGTACAACAAAAATGTTCCTATATCATAAATCTGTATTATTCAGAGATTCAAAATAAAATCCAGAACAAAAGAAAATTACCAAAATTTCAAGACCATAATAGGTACCATGTCCCATCTCTGGAACTGGACCCTTGTACCGGACCACAGCCAGCTCTGGCTCCCAACTTGAATCCTGAGTTTCAGAGAGAAGCATCACTTTTCTCCCAACTTCTATTGCTGCCAGTTCACGAAAAATGTGTTCGTTTTGCAATAGTGTAATTCGAAGAGAGGGCTCAAACACAGCTATGATTGAAGTCAACATAACAGGATCCACAGGCAGCAAATGAAACTTGGAACATAACCATACATCTTCTGACCCTTCATCCAAAGACCTTTCATCAATAAGTCGTACTGCCACTTTCTCACTACCGTGTTTTTTGGATATAACTTCTACAAGTGACCCAAGTCGAATTACCCTATCAACTTCTTTATTCTTTACATTTTTATTTATATCAAAATCTAGCCTTTCTGCTACAATGTTGTCCTTTGCAACACAAATATAGTTATCAGTTTTCGGTTTAGTCTTGCAGGAATTGCCTACTTCAGTCATTATATACTATTACTAAATGTCTAGCGCCCATGTACTTCTCACCATTCTTCCCTTTACAAATCACATATGGCCAGGACAAAATATGTTAATGTAGCAAAAACAAGTTCTATCTTCAATGTACAGCAGTTAGTTACGCCTGGGGCCTACACTAGATTCGTCCCATAAATGTTATAAAATATTTAATGATAATAACAGCAGAAATGTTGGAAATATACATGAATTCAATCTACGAAAGGGAGGGACCATGTTTAGTAGGCTAATTTGACATTCAATGCTAAAATAAGCACACACTATTCTGACTAAAACAGTCACTACATATACAACAGCATGCGTTTTAACGTCTGTTCACACACTCTGATATACTAACGTTGCAAGTGTTAGTTTTTATTAACTTCAACACACGTTCATTGCTAACCAAACTTCTATCCATCAGCCATCATGTATACCTGCATGACGTAATCACCTGCAGAGTACTATATGATCAAAACAATGTTTAAGGGGCGGATCATTATACTAAGTGTTTTATTATATACATACAACGACACACTATTACAGAAAATAATATGTTCATATAAGTTTTGAATGTCCTTAAAATTGAATGTTGATACTATCCATATGTATTTTGATTAATTCTTTCGTGGTTCCCAGTTTACGTTGGTTGCGCCTGTGGACGGCAAAACGCATTGCATCGAATTCTGCTATGTAAAATTTTTGTTACATGAAAATGAACAACGGGTAAAAAGTATAGTGTTAAAAGCTGCTCATATCAGAAGAATATGAATGAGGACCATATCATTTAACTTGGAAGTAAGTCAGATTTAATAAATTATTCCATATTTTGTTTCTGTCTCTGGC